TGGATATTGTGATTTCACCAGACGTATGCTCATTATTCCCCTTGTATTTTTTCTCTCCCGAGATTGACAGTGTCACTCTTTTAGATGAGGACGAGGTTGAAGTTTTACAACGGACAACGTTGGAGGATTTACTTGGCTTCTTTGATACTTATGTCAACCCGGCCTCATTACAACGACGTAAACTTTCGATTCACCTTAGTTCTCAAGTAATCACATCACCCGATAAGAGCGAAGGTGCCCCGCCACCACCACTGAGATTCAGCATTCCCGCTTCCGAAGAATTCCTGACTCTTCTGAAGACACATAATATCCCCATCGAAGACGAGGCCCAGTATCGTGCCCTCTCGCAGGCCGAGCCACCTGTTATGGCCGTCAAAGCTTTCTGGACCGACTTTTTAGGCAAACGTCCTGACTCTGAGGTACCTCAAGAAACTCGGGAATTGTTGCTTAATAGCATCGATGAGCTTACGAAAAAGCATCCGAAGAAAGGGGAGCAAGATACTGAAAGCGATGAAGTTGTAAAAATTGGTGTCGAACCCGTTCTTGTTAAGGATATTGCTGCTTTCAAAGCTGGATTACCTCTCGGACCTGCTGCTGTGCCTGTTTCTGATTTATTTTTGACACAAACCAACTAATATGTTAATACATATATAATTATTTGTATATTTTTACTTAGTTAAACGATGCCTCCCCATTCATTTTTTATTGAAGGAACGTTCATTCTGTCACTCAACTGTTTCATGAGTTTTTTTTTTTTTAGTAAAACAATGTGGGAGGGGTATCGATAGCACGGACGTATATCCTAAATGTGCGGGAACAATGGTAATAAAAAACAATAATGAAATGACAATGAAGGTAACTAAATCCAAATGGTATCCATCCAATTCCTCATCTTCCTATTCGTACCGACCTCTTTTTATCCCACTCCCACCTGAATTCAAGCTCTTGTTTCCTGTCCCCGCCGTAATAACGGTAGGAGACGTCGGCACCCCGAGTACTTCACCACTGTTATTAGGTTTTGATTGGGCATTCGTTCCCAGATTAGAGTTCAAGTCATCCTCCTCTTTCAATTCCTTCTCCCTCTCCCTCCGTTTACCCAATACTTGTGCCCGGGTATGTGAGGTATATTGGGTCGAGTTGTTATCAGCTTCGTCAACATCTTCAATACTTGCATGCGAATGGGTGTGAGAATGCATCCCTAAATTAACACCTATATTCTCAACTCCAACGCCCACATTCATATCCATTCCAACGTTAACATTTACTATTCCCATACCATTCACATTCATATTTCCCAATCCTCCCCAATGCGTGGCTGACGGGCCTGGAGCCATATCAGGTATCTGATTTACAGCCACACCAAGAGAATCCGATACGGTCACACTAGCAGCAGCAGCCGCAACCGCACCTGCACTCACACCAAAATCACTTGCACTGACAATGTTTTGTAAAATAACAGCGTATTGCTCGTCGGATAGTCTAAACCCAGCGAGAGGGTTGATCCGTGAGTCCGTAGACGCCATAGGCGGCTGTGGGTGGAACAACTGTAATGGCGGGGATGAAGATGAAGACTGGGATTGAGATTGAGACGATTGGGTAGGAACGCTAGACGAGAGTGAGTTGACGGCAATATTATGTGACGATGATGAGGACGCCAATGGAAGAGATTGAAGAGGTAGGGAAGGTAATGGATCGGAAAGCGGTCGGGATGCAGGTACGACTTCTTCGTTTGGATCTTCTTCCTCCTCATCATCTTCAACATCATCATCAGGTTCTTCTTCACTAACGGGTGAAGGGGACCGTCCCTCTTCGGCATCTACATCCACACGCATACCAGTACTCGTGCCGGTATCATTACCACCACTACTGGACATTCTCCGAGATGCATTTCCGGTCGGACCGGTGGCTTTGGAAGCACTTCTCGTTGTCGAAGATTGTCTTCGGGTAGAAGAGGCGCCACTTCCGGGCCCGTCCAAATCTGACTTGACGTTAGAAGTAGAATCAGGCGCAGGTCCAATTGTTGCCCGAATTCGCCGTCGCGGATATGGATCACCAAGACTACGTGGTCTTCGAACCATCTCTTGGATTGATTTAAGATGCATCAAATGTTTCTATAAAATTTGAGAACTTCTTTGTTAATACAAAGAACCGACTTGAGATTTCTGAACGCACCTCAACCATCTCAAATAATCCGTCCTTGGTAAACGGTTTTGGAAGAATATCATTCATACCATGTGAGTAATACATCAATATTTCACTGGGATTTGAATTTGAGGTCATAGAAATAATAGGGGTCATGGGGTCAAATTGTCTAATCAAGGAGGTGGCTGAAACGCCATCCAATTTAGGCATGACAATATCCATAAGTACTAGATCGTATCTCTCCAGATTCATTTTGTTGACAGCTGCGACACCGTCGATAGCTATGTCGGTCGTACAACCAAATACCTGGAGGAATTTCGTAGATAATTTTCGGCTGACAGCGTCATCTTCGACTAAAAGGACCCGTGGTGGGACGGCCCAACCTGGAACGAAGGTGGATCTCCGTACACGGAGACGTTGTGAAGTGTGTTTGGGTTTTGCTGTTAAAGTCGAGGAAGAAGAGGAAGAAGAGGAAAGAGTCGAGGAAGATGTTGTACGAGATGTTATGGGTGCTGTGGTGGTGGAATTTGCAGACGGGACGAGGGATGAATCTGTAGCAGTTCCGTATGAATCGACATTCATCCCAACATCAATACCCAGCCCGGACCGGGTAGCAGGTTGAATGGTTCCATTGAACCCAAGACCAAAACCATTAAGCTGTAAAGAAGTAGGATCAAACGACCATGTCCCATCATCTGGTGCGTTATCTGAACGGGGTAAAAGATGACCGACTGTGAAGACTTGCAGACCCGGAAACGATTCGCGTTGAGATGTGGAAGTAGAAGGTGGGAGGGAACGAAGTGTTGTAGAGGAGGAAGTGTTTCCACTTTCGCTAGAGGCAATAACCCCTCCTAATGTGACAGAGTAATTTCCCGGGTTCGAGGATGAGGGTTGATCGTCCATTAGAACGGAGAGGGAGAGGGGGAGAGGAGACGGGGTGGTGGTAGATGGACGAGCTCTTGATAATTCTTCAATACGTTGAAGGGCATCTTGCTTTGATACTGGAGGGGAAGGCAACAGAGAAGGAGTGCCAGGGATGGGAACGCCATTGACAGCAAATTGCATACCAGCGGTATTGGCTATTCTGGCCATTTCGTTCATTTGCTCAAACGATGCTCGGGCTATATCGGATTCAGGGTATGCGCCGTTCATGATACGTTGGGCTTCTGAGACAGGTACAAATTGATTTTCCAAAGCCGAAGGGGGAGATGAAGTCGTTGTTGTAGCCGTGGCGGCGGTAGTAGTCACAGAAGCATCAGTAGTGTTTCTTGAAGAATTGTCAGCGGCAGCGGCGGTTTCAGCCTGTTTTCCATTCTCAATTTGCAAAAAGTACTGAATCAAGTTTTGTAGTAATCCATCTTGTTGAGCCATATTTCTTTGAAAATTAACCATTTCTTTGAGAACGGATTGGTAATTTTGTTCAACACTTCGAATATGGTTTGTGAGATTTTGAACTGTAGCATTTAGATGTTCAATTTGAGATTTCATAGATTGGATGATGGGTGAATCTGTGAGTGAATACGGGAGAGCTGTCGAAGCAGGAAGGGGTTGAACAGTTGGTGGGGTAGATGGCGATGGAGAGGGTGCTTGTGTTGTAGGAATGGTGGTAGTAGGGGTGTTGGTATTAGAGTTGGAGTTGGACGACTTTGTACCTGCTTTACGTTGTGAGGGTACTTTTCGCTTTATGTTTTCCAACGCATCTCTATTATTAGCTTGAAAATCAGGATGTTTAAAAGTCCAAGCATGATCTCCATAAGCGTGGTTCGAATCAACATCAGGATTCTTTACTTTGTGAAAATCGTATTTGTTCAGTTGCCGTACGAACGAAGCAAAATTGGAATGTTTGAACATGCGAGGAAGGATTGACTTTGTAAATTCGGTGATGTCTTTAATGACGAAACTGTCACCGGATGTTGTCCAGGATACGATGTCGTTGAAAGCGTTGTCTTGTAACATTCTTTATCATATGATGGTGTTACTTTTGTTGGCAATGTTGTAGCAACATATTTGTGTGTACTTACTTGAACAACTTTTTGACAAAATCACTAGTTGGGGGCATGCCATCGTCTGCATCGACTGATTTAGATTGAGGTGTAGGTGTAGATGGGGGAAGAGGAGGAGGAGGAGGAGGAAGAGGAGGAGGGTTAGGAGGAGGTAAGTTATGACTATGACTATGGCTATGGCTATGACCATGACTATTATTATGATTGTGACTATGATTTTGGCTTTGACTTTGGTTATGACTATGACTATGATGGTGATGGTGATGGTGAGATAAAGGTGGTGGAAGAGGTGGAGGAGGTTGTGGTGGTGGTGGTTTCATGTCGTGCTGAGATCTCCGCAAAGGCCATGGAAGTGAGTGAGAGTGGTGATGAGGAGATAAAGATGGATGGTAGTTAGGTGGTGGGAATCTACCAGGCGAGAGGGGAGGTAGAGTGGAATGGGAGTGAGTACGAAAAGAGGATGGAGGAGGGAGATGGAGAGGAGGTAATTGGTGATAGTTAGAATTGGAATTGGAATGGGAATGATTAGAATTAGAATGATTAGATGATCCCGATGATGTTGATGATGATGATGGATGTCGGTCCATGGTCGAGGTTCGAGGTTCGAGGTCAGGGAGAGTGAGAGAAGAAGGAAAAAAAAGGGGGGGGGGACGAGTCAGGTCTAGAACAAGTCCCATACAAACTTTTTCTATATTTCTCTTTAAATACGCCCTCTTTCTACTAAACACCGTTCATCCCCCATCGATCACCGCCCAGCTCCACTTTTTTCTTTTCATCGGACCGGTTCTACCCTGTACGCGTGTATACTTGTCAATTATTAATTTACCTGTAACATTTCGACTCTTGTAATTGTGTAGCCCGGTAGCTCAGTTCGGTTAGAGCATTGTACTTATAGGGTAAACATGCCTGCATAATGTAATGCAAGGGTCGCGAGTTCGATTCTCGCTCGGGCTAGTAATTTTTTCTTAAACTCCCTAGCTGCTCTCTGAACTTGCATCTTTGACGCCCTACTGGCACAGACTCTCCCGAGTCCTCTCATTTCATGCCATCACCATCCTTTGACCCATGGCTCAATTCTCGTCGTTTCGCCATAACTATCGACGCAGGTTCGTCGGGTTCAAGACTTCAAATTTATTCATGGTTACATCCTAGTGCCAATGATTTATCATTGCCAAAACTTTCTGTCATTGAAAGAGGTACAAAGGACCCTAACGCATCTGTTATTAAAATCGAACCAGGTAAAGCAAATATATTATACATATCTATTCCTAACATCTTTTACATAAAGGTATATCATCTTTCTCAAAAACGCCTGGTGAAATAGCTCAGCATCTCGCTCCTTTACTTCAGCATGCAAGAGATCACATTCCTCCATCATTACACTCAGAAACCCCTCTATTTTTATATGCCACAGCCGGCATGAGGTTACTACCTCAACAAGAACGACTCGCCCTTCTAGACGCTGCTTGTCATTTTTTAAGATTTCATTCAAATTTTCGCGTTACTGACGACGATAGTGACGAAGAAAAAGAAGAGACTCTATTTCGTCGTGACATATCATCATCCCGTGCTGTCACTTGTAAAAACCATGTACGTGTCATTACCGGTGAAGAAGAGGGTTTGTTTGGATGGATTGCCGTTAATTATCTTTTAAATGGGTTTACTCAAGACCGCTCAAATTCAAGCTCCACGTATGGTTTTCTGGATATGGGGGGCGCAAGTGCTCAAATGGCCTTTCAAGCTGAACCTCCTTCCCTTGACCTCCCACTTATCCCTGTCAACCTCAATCTTCTCAATGGTGAGTCGATACACTGCGACGTTTTCGTGACTACTTGGTTGGGGTATGGAACAAACCAGGCCAGGGAGAGATACGTCCGTAGGATTTCGGGCACCAGAAACGAAGAGGAAACCACTATACCAGATCCATGTCTTCCTCGTGGCCTCACACTTCCAATCGTAGATCCTGTCTCTCACAAGTATGATTTGGAAGAAGAAGACGATCCCTTTCCAAATACATTGTTGTATCTACGTGGAACAGGCTCTTTTGATGAATGTCAATCATTCTCAGCCGAATTACTCACTAACGGTGACAATATCTCGTATCCGATGCTTCCCTTCACTCCTCCACTTAAAACAACTCCCTTCGTGGGCGTTTCGGAATATTGGTACACTTCTGAACACGTTTTTGGACTCGGAGGGGTCTATGATGATGCTGCATTTGAAAACGCTGCACGCAAGTATTGTGCGATGGAGTGGTCCGAAATTGGAGAGGTTTATTTACATGGCGGTGAACATTCGGCATTACCTCCTGACTTGGGATTGGATTCGGATTTGAACTCGAACTCGAAGTCGCATTCAAACTACAATTCTGGCAAGATTGATATCCACCGTCTGGAGATGCAGTGTTTCAAAGCTGCGTGGATTATGAATGTTCTGCATTTAGGATTGGGTATGCCAAGGGTCGGCGAGAAAGTAGATATAGATATAGATGAGGATGTTAACGTCGGCACACTCCCACATCTTAAACCTATGTTTCAGAGTGTGGACACGATACATGACACGGCTATTAGTTGGACATTAGGAAAGATCGTTCTGCAGGCTAGTAGGGAGGTTGGAAAGAGTTTGAGGGGGGCAGATAATAGTAATCAAAAGGAACCGATCCATGACACTATGCCATCCGAGCCATCTCCGCACCCGCTTTCACCGATTGAGTCACATAAAACGGTACCCATCGCTTTTTCAATCTCACTTTCACCTGCAGTCATTTTGTTTTATACCTTTACGCTTATTGTGCTTTTTTTAATCTCGTATCGATTTGGAATATGGTATCGGGTAAAAGTAGGCATGAGAAGATGGTGGCGGAAGGGAGTCGGGCAAGGCAAGTGGAAAAAATATGGGGATGATGTGGGCGTGAAAGTGAATTTGGAGGAAGGCATCGAGGAGGAGGAATTCAGTGAAAGGACAAGAGGGAGGCTCGGTAATATACTACGTATTCTTTCATCCGTTCGGGGGGGCGTTTTTGGAACCCGGCAGACTTTGACTTCAGCCAACGTTAGGAATTCGGAATCTCATTTTCTCAAGAATGGATTTACGAACGGTCATGCAAACACGTCGGTTAATGGACATACCAACAAAACATCAAATTCAGACCCATTTGACACTTTCCCCTTGGAATTAACTTCTAACTCAAACGCAAACCCCAATTCAGTCAAGTCCACACCTCTTTCTGCCCGAAATGTAAACCGGTCGGCTTCACTACCTGTCCCCTCCGTATCTACGTCTGGTACATCAGGGCGGTCGACTCCCCAATCGTTCATGTTCTCGACATATTCGTCTTCTCCAACAGCGTCTGCGTCAACTACACCTTTCTCTTACCCTAATCCACCTGCCTCTGCTTCCACGGCACTTTCAACCATTTTAACAAATCCTCTTGTGCAATCAAGATCTCGGAATTCATCCCAAGTTAGCCTGACCAGTATAGGTATGACTTCCGGCAATGCAAGTTTTCAAGCTCAAACCAGATCACGAAATTCATCCCAGGTCAGTCTGGTTTCCTTGGGATCTAGGAAACCATTGGCAATGACACTGGGAAGAGCGAGTTAGAGTTGTTGATTTTGCTGAGGTCTCCTGCCGTTATCAAAAAAGGGTATGCTTGTCTTGATTCAACTTTATCTCCACGTTAGTGTAACTGACTGTATGATTTAGGTTAGTGCCGATTTTGGCACACAAATTCTTGCTGATCGGTTACTGGACGTGTTTCTCCCTCTCTCCAGACTCTTCCGATCGAAATGAATCATAATTTAAATAAGGGATAAAGAGTTTCCATCTATCACTGCACACGGTTCACTCCACCCACGTTCAAACAACCCTTGTTACACAAGTGTTTGTCCCGTTTGTTGTCGAGAGAAAACAGAAAGCTGTGTCACATGGCCTGGCCATTCATTCCCAAATCGGATGGAAGAACGTGCAATGATTGTCCGGATCTATGTCTGTATTTCCATCTGAAATCGGAGAAAGAAGGAAGGAATATATGTCAACCGTGGGCATTGCAGGGTGGTAATCTTCTCTTGGGCGTAAGTATTTGAAGCAAAAAATTGAAAAAGAAGGACGCCGCGCCCATGACTTGAAATTGTTTTCCATTCTAAACCTGGCGTCCCCATCTTCTGTTCAGTTAATATTTCCACGAAGATACCATTTCCTATCGTGAAAAAATCATATCGACGCTGGAGTGGTTATCCCGTTCGTATAATGCCCTTTCATGTGTACATTCTAATCATCACTTGCATTTTATCATATACATACTCTCTCATCACGGATACTTCTCGCTTCCGCATTATTTCGGACAATACATATTTTCCTGTCCCTTTTGTTTATAGTTATTTGTCATGTACATATATACTCGGTCCGGATTAGACAATTTAGACATACCAGAATAAGCATCACAACTAATTTCCGTCTTTCAATAGTGATTTAAGTATATCAAATGATGACGTTTTTTATAGCATGTATATATCATTGACAGTATCCAAAAGAGGTGTTACAGCAGCGAACTTTTTGTGATAAATAAAAAAACATCAATAATAAAAGTCTGTTAACTAATAGCGTCCGTACAGAAATAAGAGATAGCTTATTAAGAAGTAAAAATCCAAAAAAAAAAAAAGTAAAGTTGGAGATAAAAGAAGAAAGAATCCTTTGGGGAGGGAATAATTCAACCTATATATCATCTTCCATTCGTTCATCCACGTTTCATTATCATCGACTCAATCATCGTGGTTCATCATACTTGAGGGATACTAATTTCGTTGGCTAGCTGGAGATTTATAGCAGCTGCTTGAACTACAGCTTGGATTTGAGGTGAAATACTGGAAAAGAAAAGAAAAAGATCAATACTTCTTTTATAATGAAGAAAAAAAGGCACATACGCTTGATAACCATCGTTAGGGGAGCTACCTTGAGTAGCTGGCAGGTCGGGAACAAACACCCCAGAAGGAGCGTTACTAATAGCCTGAGTAGGCGTCGGCGGTGCTGGTTGTAGATTTCCTTGACCCCATTGATGGACTGTTATTGCACTGAAACTGTTTGCAATCGCTGCTTCTAATATGGATTGATAGGCTAGGGCCTGTGTCGAATCGTTCACCGGTGCTTGGCCTTGTAGAACTCCTACCTGGGGACCAATGGGTGTAGTTGGAATAGCACTAGCATTGGGGAAAGTCAGGGAAGTGCCGTTAAATGGAATGAAGAAGGGTGCATTGTCTAGGGATACGAGACCAAAACCTGTTAGAAAGACAGGCTTATCAACCCTTAATTTTGGCTTGTGTTTAACAATTAAGTTGTAAATGGATGGTATATGGGTACATACATACGAGAGATTGCTGCCTGAGCCGAAAACCATTGTATTGCGGCGTTGATAGTATTATTCAATGATGAGAGACTGGGGTCGGGGGGCTCATATACATTCTGATCAGGGAAGAATTGACTATATATATAGAAAGTGGTGTCAGTTTTCCTTAAAAACAAGGTTATAACGAGAACCTTCATACGTTGTGAGGTACGAAATGCTAGAGCGAACAATTCAGTCTCGAGAGAAAAGACCCACAAAAAAAAATTAGAACATACTTCGGTATAGCACCAATGTCAAGCGAATCAACGCCAAACGATCCATCCATCGAAGGACCAAGAGTCATACTTTGTCGTTTCTTGACTTGGACGGGTACGGGATCAGCAGCAGCTTCGCGTCCAAATAGACTACGAGGAACCCATCGATCGAATACACCACGTGCGCGTTTCTCAACCGCATTATCCTGTTGTTGTTTCGCTGCTGCAGCTGTACGTTTCCATCGTGCGTTTCTCTCAGCGATAATTGATTTCTCGGTAAGGGAACGTCTCCGTAAACCCGGTGCAGGAGAAGTAACCGGAGCTGGAGCCTGCGTAAAGAAAAATTTGGGACACACAGT